GTAGCTGGGACTACAGGCATGCGCCACCATGCCCGGCTAATTTTTTCTATATATGTTAGTTGGCCAATTAATTTCTTTCTATTTATAGTAGAGACGGGGTCTCTCTCTTGCTCAGGTTGGCTTCGAACTCCTGAGCTCAAATGATCCACCCGCCTCGGCCTCCCAGAGGGAATGTTATTATTATTATTTTCCTTGCATGGTTGTTGTGACGATCGAACATAACACGTTAGATACATTTTGTGCCAGATATATGCCCGGTAAGCGATGCAGGCAATATAATAGTGCTTGCGAGAGTAACGGGCAGACCGCAGTCGCTGGGCTCCAGCATGACTGGGGAGCCTTCTGTGACGGAGTCGCCCGGTCCTTGCTCAGCCCCTCGGGAGGAAGGCGTGGCCGCCCATGTCTGCTGCTCCCTCCCTCCCTCCTCCGAGTGTGGCCAGAGCTGAAAGGGGTTTCCCCTTGTCTCTGCCACTGCACAGCCCTGTCCCCAGCCACCGGCCCCATCTTGGGGTCTCTTCCTCTCTCCCTAATTTTGGGACCTGGACCCACACAGCCATGCAGGGGTCTGTCGGGAAGAAGCCCCCTGGAAGGTGGGGAGAGAGACCTGTGCCAGCCACGTGGGCCTGCTCCGCCCAGGACGGGCACCTGCTCCAGAGGGCAAGGCCGTCCTTCCCTGCGGCAGGGTCCCCGCTGCTGGCTGGAGAGGGGCACTGACGTCCTCCCCCACACGGAGGTCCCCCACGTGTGTCCGTGCCACTCGGGTTCCTGGCCGCCTCCGGACATCAGGGAGCCAGGCCAGAGCCGACCGTCGCTGGGGCAGCCGCTCAGGGTCGTGGATGCAGGGCTTCGGGCAGATGCACCTGGCACCCCATGGTGCCCTCTGACCTAGCCCCCTTTGAACCCTTAGGACCCTCACCTGTGACACCGTAGAATAGACCATTGAGCATTTCTGGACCTAATATGCCACTCGAGGAAAAGTTATGTCCCAGCAAACCAGAGCCTGTTCCCCATTTGGCCACGGCACCGAGCTCGGTGTGGCCGTGAGACCCCTCCAAGGCAGCCTGGCCACCAGCCCTGGGTCGGCAGACTGTTCCCTCCTTCTGGGGGACCTCCCAAACCGAGACCCTAAGGCCTGTGCTGAAGTGAAGTTTTGAGCCAAGAAAGCAGCATCCCTTTCCGCCCAGCCGTGGAGAGCGGGGCTTCCGTGGGACCAGAGATTGGAGCACAGGCTCCCTGCGCGAAGGCTTCTCCATCCAGTGCTCCCTACTGGATGAGAGGGAATCCCCACCTCTCTGCCCCCGGCGCCCTGGCTGCCGCGCCCGCCCAGTCCAACCCGGAGCCTTGCTTCTCCCGCCTGGGCGCCCCGGGCAGCAGCCGCAAGGCCTGAGCGTTGGGCCCTGAGCTTGGAGAGCCCCTGCCCCGAATGTGCATGCTCCTCTGTGGCCGTGCCTGCGTGTGCGTGTGCGTGTGCGCGTGGGCGTGCGTGGCCTGCATGCGTGTGTGACAAGGGTCGCTTCTGGAGCATGTCGCCCTCTGTCTGCCCATCCAGGTTACTCCTCGCTGCAGGACGAGCTGCTGTCCCCCGCCTCGCTGCACTATGCGCTTCCCTCGCCGCTGCGCGCAGACCAGTACTGGAACGAGGTGGCCGTCATAGACGCCATCCCCCTGGCCGCCACGGAGCATGATGCCATGCTGGAGATGTCTGACATGCAGGTGTGGTCCGCGGGCCTCACGCCCTCCCTGGTCACTGCTGAGGACTCCTCTCTGGAGTGCAGCAAGGCCGAGGACTCTGACGCCACGGGCCGCGAGTGGAAGTTGGAGGGGGCGCTCTCGGAGGACCCGCGGGGCCCCGAGCTGGGCTCTCTGGACCTCATGGAGGACGACACAGTGGACTCAGATGCCACAAATGGCCTTATCGATTTGCTTGACCAGGAGGAAGGTCAGAGGTCAGAAGAGAAGCTGCCAGGTCATAGGAGGCAGGATGACTGGCCACGTGCAGGGCAGGACGCAGAGAGTGAGGTGTCTCTTGTTTCAGGCCAGCAGCGGGTGCGAGCCCGAGTCACAGCCTCGCCCACCGTGAGTCGGGTGACGGACAGGACCCGGGACAGGTAAGGGCGTGGCCTCGGCGGCAGGGCCCTCCTGCCTCCCGGGCTCCTGGGTAAGGTTGTGCCCCGTGGCACGGCACAGGGAACCCTTGGGGGCTGCTGCCACCCGCCCCTGCGTTACAGAGGCCCCGGGGCAGATGAGTTCCGTGTGGCCGCGGCTTGCCCCGCAGGCCGCCCCAGGTAGGCATGTGGCTGCGGTCTGCGTGCGCCGGCTGCTGCCCGGGCCCTGCCTGGGTGTGGCCAGCAGAGGCCACGCCAGGGGCGTCGGTCGGGACGAGGGAGAGCCACCTAGGAGAGCCATCGCAAGACCGGGCAACCCGTGGCCCCGCAGCGCTGCTGAGCCGGGTGCCCAGCGTCCGTGCGGAAGGCCATGTTTAGAGACCTAGAAGCGGGACACAGGGAAGTCCCTTGCGTCCAGCCGCAGCCTGCGTGTCACAGGGCCGATGACGGTGCCGCGTCTCCTGTCCCTGTTGAAGCGCAGCGGGCTTCTCTGGGGCTGCTGAGCACTGGGGCTCCCGTCCCCGAGCATCCCGTCCTGGGAGGGTGTGGTGCCACGGGGCCTTCTCCGATGCTGAGAGTCTGTGAGGCCGGGCCTGCCTCAAGCCCCCTGGGCCTCCCGGCCACGGTCACCTGCCACGCCCAGAGCCTTGCTGAGTGCGGGCGAGGGCTCCAAATCCATCCGGGCGCCTGCAGGTGCAGAGAGACGAGAAAGACAAGTGGTGGGGCTCCCTTCGGCCCCCTGGGCTGGCATTTGAAGCCGGGACAGGGCCCCCTTTCCCCCCATACGGCTGCTTCCGTAGCTTTCCTAAAGCAAGGCGACGGTGCCCCCGCCCACGAGGCTGTGGCCACCCGCCCAGCTCAGGGCTCGGGGCTGCCCAGGTCACGGGAGAGCCGTGCTCACCCGCCCAGCGCTGCCCCACAGGCACACGCCTCAGAGGCCCGGGTTGGTGGCCGTTCCCCGGGGCCGTTCAGCAGATGAGACAGCTAGGAGTTCATTTTGTTTCCCGCACAAACCTTTGGGTTAGTGGGGAGGATTGAATAGACTGAGCCTAGGGTGGTCCGAGGTGAAACACGGGCCTTCCTGCTAGAGAGCTCATCTTTTCCACGGTGGCCGTTCCTTCAGCGAGCATTTGCGGAGTGCTTGCTGTGTGCTGGCCCCTGCACCATTAGAACAGCAGGGTCACTAAACGGGCAACCAGAGGCCTGCGTTCTAGGCCTAGCTGTGTCACTTCTCGGCTCCATGACCTTGCTCAGCCTTCCAGGGGAGCCAGATACATTTCCATCACGCATTCAGCATGCATTGAGCACCTGCGCACGCCAGCCCCTGTGAGAGTTGCCGGGGGGGGTGCTGGGGCGTGGCGTTGAGCAAAGCGGACAGACGTCTCCCCCTGCAAGCGGCTTGTGGTCCAGCCTGGAGACTGACAGGACAGGAGAAAGTAAATGAAAGCAGAAGGCATAATTCTAGATAATTAGTGCTAAACAGGAAAACTTGAAGGCAGGAAGGCGCTGGGAGGCGGGTGAGTGGGTGGAGAGAGGGGACGGCTGGAGTTGGGCTCGGGGAGGCCTCAGCGAGTGGCACCTGAGCGACTTAAAGGATGGAGGGCGAGGGGCAGAAGGCCCGGCGCGTGCACAGGCTGGGGGGAGCGTGCCCGGCACACCCCTCCCGGGGACAGAGTCGAGCCGGAGCAGTGAGGGGGAGGGCGAGGGCGCCCCGAGCCAGGCCTGGAGGCCCCGGAGAGCCTGTGGGGGCTGAGCTGAGCAGTGGTGAGGCTGGCAGCTGCCGTGAGGGTCGCAGGTGCCCAGCAGAAGTGGGGAACCTCAGGAGCGCAGAGCCTGGCGGGGTGGGGGCGGCGGGCGGCAGGCCGGGAGGGCCGCAGTGGCGCTGAGAGGGGGCTGGGTTAGGGGCGTGTTCTGAGAGCCGGACCAAAAGGCGTGTGGTGTGGATGTGAGGGGGAGGAGGCCCGGCGGGGCGCTGGTGCCCGGACCCCTGCTGCAGGGGGGTGCCGGGAGCTGCGGGCGGAACCGGCAGAACGGGCGTGGGGAGGTGTGAGGCGCGGATTCAGCCCCTCGGGCCTGCGGGTGCCAGCGAGAGGCCCCAGGCGGAGACGCGGAGGAGGCCATGGGGTGCACACGCGTGCAGTTGAGGCGGGAGACACGGGGCTGGGGCTGGAGCCCAGGAGGAGCTCGCTCGGGAAGCGGAGACGCGAGCTCGAGTGAGCGCCTATCACCGGTGGAGTGGGGGGCTGGCCTGGTGGCAGGGCAGGTGCAAAGTGCGACCCTGTGGGAAGAGGGGTAGGGCCCGTGCCTGGGCCAGAAGGGTGGGTGGAGAGGCCCTGAGCCCCTGGGAAGCTGCTCACGCAGGGAGGGCCTGGAGGCCCTTACACCTGGACGGCACAGACAGGGCGGGAGCCAGGCGATGTGTTCAGGCTCCCCCCACCCCGGGGCGGTACAGGAGGTCCTGGGTGGGAGAGGCTGAAGGGTGACCAGGTGTCCTTTCTCCCCCCTGCCTGCTGCACCCTTGGACCCCAGACTGCAGGGCTGGGATGAGGAAGGCTCCATTGCCTCCTACCTGCAAGAAGCCGCACAAGGTTCCTGGCAAGAGGAGGCCCTGCCGGGCCCACACTCGCTCCAGAGGACAAGCCCGGCCACTCACGCGCTGGAGCCCAGCGGGTCCCTGCAGTTCTCAGAGGCCGGGAGCTCCCGGGCGGCACAGGTGAGGGCCTCGGGCGCTGCCCGCTCTTTCCCTGCATGGGGCGGGGGGGCAGGGTGGGCTCCTGTGCACGAGCCCCGAGCCAGATGCGTTTCCGGCTCTAACACCTGGCGGGGGCTTCCCTTTCCTGGGAGTCAGGATCCGAGGGCTGGGTCCACCTTTCCGGGAGGGGCTCGTGTGGCGGAGCTGCCACCTGTGCCCACAGCCACCGGCGGCTGGCCTCGATCCCAGGGGCAGGCGCTGCCAGAAGGTGGAGCAGCCTGCCCGGGCCGCGGCGTGAGGCGTCTGGTCTGGCCGGGCAGAGCCGCCGCGTTTGTTTCCTCGTTCCGCCGAGTCTCAGAAAGGCCCAGAGCTGAGAGGGCTGGGCGCTGGGTGACTCAGGCCCTTCCGGGGTCTGTGTGACCCTCAGTGCTCGGCATCTCGGTTCGTCTTTGGTAACCAAGGGCGACTGGAATGTCACTGCGGCTCGGCCAGCTCTGGACCCCTGTGGCTCTGGTGGCCTCTGGGTGGGGACACGGAGGGACAGGCGGTGACGGGGTGGTGGCAACACTGCACTGCCTGGCCTGACCCCAGCCTCGTCCAGCTCTCTGGCTCCTTTGGTTTCAAACTTGTCCTGTTTCCTCCCTGAGTCCCCGCCCGCCGCCCCGCCATCATGTTGAAGGAAACCCCAGACGTCTCGTTAACGGGCTTTGATTTGTGTTCTTACGAGACACGGCCGCTGTCCTGTGCGGATGTGTTTTTGACACGTCCTGTCCTGGGTTCCCTCCTCCCCTCCCCTCCGTTCCTTTCTCCCCCAACCTCAAGGACTCCAGGACTCGGGCTGCTCTCCAGGGTCCCGGGCTGGGCTGCTGGCTGGAAGGAGCCACCGGGAACCCGGCCGGGCTTTATTTCCCGCCGGGCGTGCGCCTGTCCCTGCGGCCCCGCCCAGCGCACTCTTCCCAGCAGCCCCCAGCACTGGGGGCTTCATTGGGCTTGTTCTCAGAATCCCTGGGGAGGGGAGGGAAGCCGCTGCCCTCCGCGGTCACACCACAGCCAGGGGGCGTGGGCAGCAGAGGCAGCAGGCAGGGCAGCCCGGGAAGTCGCAGGGGACGCTTCCAGATCCTGCCGTCCAACCCCTCGGTGACACGTGGGGAGACTGAGGCCCAGGGAGGCGGGGCTTCCTCCAGGGTTACACGGCGAGCTAGCGTCAGGGCCAGGGTGAGCCTGCACACGGAGGCTTGGCACGGAGCCCCCACGCCACGTGGCCTTGCCAGGGGTCATCTCACAGCCCCGGGGGCCACTGAGGGCCGGGGAAGGCGGTGGTTTGCGGAGCGCCCGTTTACCGGTGTTTTCCACCAACTGTCCGGCAGCAGTGATGGGGAGACGGAGAGATGCCCGCGACTTGGGGCTTGGGGTGGCCACAGCTGTCACAGTGAATACACAGTGGCTGTAGCCAGGCGACCCCTCCGGGGGCATCTGAGGTCAGACTCTTCCTGACTGAGCCCAAACCACGATGCTGTCCCGGGACCAGCCCTGTGCGCCTGCTGTGGGTTCCGCTCTTCCAGGGTGTTCTTGCTGCAGTGAGGCCGCAGCCCCGAGTGCTGATGAGAGTTCGCAGTCCCACAGTGTCGCCCGGGCAAGACGCTTTGCCTCTGGGACGGCGATAGAACCTACAAGGTTGGGACCGCGGCAACGTCCCGAGTCACCGTGTGAACGTGCTCACAGCAGCGCGCTGCCGCAAGCCTTTGCCGCCGTGGCTCAGCGGCTGGTCGTATAGCCTGCGAGGTTTTCGCAGCTGTCTCAAGAAGGAGAACAGAGCACCGTGGTCCCTGATCTATGGATGGGGAAACCGAGGCACACAGCAGGGGCCACCTCCCCAAGCCCCCGTAGGAGGCGGGTTGTGGGGTCGGTCCCAGAGGTTCTTTCTGCCGTGCGGGGCAGCCACGGCCCCACCTAGCGCAGGGCTCGCGCTCCGCGGCGTAGAGAGCCTGGCTCGGGAAGAGCCCTTAGGGAGAGGCCCTAAGCAGACACACCGGCCACACGGTCAAGTCGAGCGTGGCTGTGCCTGGAAAGGAAGGGACCCAGGCCTGCCGGCTGGCGGGGTTCATAAACGGGGCCCAGCTGCCCCCGCCCGTGCCGGGTGTCCGCCCTGCTCGCTGGGCTGGGCCTGCCAGTGTCTCGCCCTTGGGCCGTTTTTGAGCCGAGCCCTTCACTGTCTCCAGCGTTAGCTGGCCTGACCCCCTCGGTGCCAGGAGCAGCATTCTGGTCCCTGCGGTGGCCACCCGGGGAGACACACAAGTGGCCGCCACGTTCTCTGAAGGGCTTATCTTCTGGAGTCCCTGAGTGAGAGACTGTCCCAGCCGGGACTGCCTGTAGTTCCCACGGGGACAGGCAGGCAGGAAGGCGGGAGGCCGGGCCCCCTGCCAGTCTCGGGGTGGGGCGGGGCGTCCCTGGAGCAGTGACTGTGACGTGGGCACTGCCGGCGTCCTTCTAGCCCAGCTGGACAGCCCCGGCAGCTGGTTTGGGAGCTAAAATTATAGACGCCTGATGTCACGGTGGGGGGGGCAGGGCACTGGGGCCGGGCTGCGCCATTCCGGAGAGGGCCCATTCGGTGTCCTGCCCAGAGCAAGACAGTGGGAGACCGGGAGAGCAAAGCAGAGAGAGAGAGAGGCCCTGCCGAGCAGTGCCGGCGACGAGCCCCCACCCTGCTGTCGGGGTGCCAGAGGGAAGCTGGGGCTCCCTCAGTTCTGCCGCCCTTTGGCTTCCGGCCCACCCACCTCTGGCCAGCCCCGAGAAGGTGTGACCATCACCCACCTTCTTGGTGACGAAGTTGCCCTGCTCATCCGTGAACTGCTCCTCTGTCACCTGCTCCCCTGGAATATTCTGGAGCTCGTTCCCCTGGAAAGAGAGGAAGGACGAGCACTGAGAGGGGAGCGCAGGCGTCGCGGGAAAGGCCCAGAGCCGGAGGAGGGAGCACGGCGGTCCGGCGCGGGAGCTGCAACTCCTCGGGTAGCACGGTGGCCAGGGCTCGGGGAGCGTGAGTGGCCAGGCCAGGGGGCGCGGGCCCGGGACTCCCTGCGCTGGGTCCCTGCCAGAGCCCCGGGGGCAGCGAGACGCGGCCACGCTACAAGCTTGGCAGTTGCTCCTGAGAGGAGAAGGAGGCCGGTTTCGTGTTCTTACAGCACTTCAGCGCTCAGAAGGCCCTTCCACAGACAGCGCCACCCGGAATGTGCCCTGCCGGGGTCCCGAAGCCAGCGGGTGGCAGGAGCAGGGCCCGCCGGCCTGGCCTGGGCCCCCGCCTGCGGCCGCCTGCGCCCGCCCGCGGTACCTTCAGGAGGACGCGGCGCCGGACCACCCTGCTGGAGACGGCCTCCTCCTCGTCGCCCAGGCCCCCGTCCTCCCCCAGCTCCCTGTCCAGCTCGAGGTGGGCGCGCTGCAGCACGAAGCACAGCGAGCCCCTGGCGATGTGCATCACGTTCTGGCAGCTGACCAGGAAGAAGCCCAGGAGCACCAGGGTGACCAGCAGCTGCGTGAGGAAGGTCCACATCCTCGCAGCCGCTCACCAGCCCGGCCCTCCGGGGAGCACTGGAGCCAGGGCCCTGGCCGCAGCGGGGGCCCAGCCCCTCATTCTCCTCCGCATCTCCCGGGGCCCCGGGGGACGCCTCCCATCCTCTCTCTCTCTCTCTGCTTTGCTCTCCCGGTCTCCCACTGTCTTCGCTCTGGGCAGGACACCGAATGGGCCTCTCCGGAATGGCGCAGCCGGCCCCAGTGCCGCCCCCCCCGGACCATCATGGCAGGCGTCTATAATTTTAGCTCCCAAACCACTGCCGGGGCTGCTCCAGCTGGCTAGACAGTGACGCCCCGGCAGTGCCCACGATCACAGTCCACTGCTTCCCAGGGACGCCCCC